TATATATATATATATATATATATATATATATATATATATATGACATGAATTTTGAGACATGCCACAGATCTCGAGATAATTTTTTTTGCATAAATATTCAAACTTCGAGTAAAAGTCTTCCAAAGCTTTGATTTTAGTAAATTCACAATCAAACTGATTGACTCGACGAGTCGGGCTCATTGGTACCAAAATCGTTTAATTTTAGCCAAATCAAGCCCTGATTAAGCCACTTAACCACTTTAGAAAGCCCTTCAAACATATTTGATAAGTCAAATAGATGCCAAATTTGACAAGTTTATTTCGAATCAAGCATTTCAACAAGTCAAATCCAACGAGCCCAAGATCTCTCAATTCTGACATTATTAAGATACACAAATGTCCATCAAACGTCATCTGATTGAGAGAATCTCTCTGAGTCATCTGATCAAAATGATTTATATCTGTTCATTAATTACAACTGAGCCTTTGTAAATAAAGCCCCATCGAAGAACTTGGAGCAGTCGTTGACCACCGTCGATTACCAATCGCCGGCCCCTGTCCACTCTTGATGAGTACTATGACTAGTTGCAGAGTCATGAAGTAACCTACGTAGCTTCGCATTCTGAACACATAACTAACCCCAAAGATGGTGCAACAATGCACTTCGAAGATAGTGTGACCACGCACCTCAAAGACAAACAACAATGCATCTCGAAGATGGGGTACCGACCCACCTCTCATACAGATGCAACTCCCAAATCCAGCACTCGCGTCCTACATACGTCATTACAACTCGCAGTTATAGCCTACGCGAACAACTACGACCTATGTTGTTCACAACTCGTGCAACTTCCGACTTCGGCCTTTGCGACCTATGGCCGAAATTGCAACCACCATTATAACCTACTTGAGCAACTGTGACTTATGTGGTCCACAACTCGTGCAGTTCCCGACTCCGGCCCTCACGAACCACGTGACTAACTATGATTTATGTGGTCCACATCTCGTGCAGTTCTTGACTCTGGCCTTTGTAGCCAACGGACATGCCTATACGACCTACGTGGTACACAACTCCCGCAACTCCCTATTATAACCTCTATAACCAACCGACGCTTCTGTATCAACTATCTACGACCCACCTGGCCAACTAATGTCATAGTTATCAACTACGACTTCTACGATAAGTTGGCGCTACAACCACGATTTACAACACTCATGATAGACTACTACCTCTGCGACAGTCAACTATGATCTTTGCAGTCTATTGTTGCCAAGGACTACAACTAGATTACAACTATACAACTTTGTAATTCTATCTTTCCTAATTCAGGAGAGGAGTAAACTTGTGTACTCACCATTTAAAGTGTATTATTTTAACCAAATTAAATCCAGTGGTTTTTTTCTTCTTTTAAGGGTTTTTCACGTAAAAAATCGATGTGACTCCTCTTGCTTGCTTCTCTTTATTTGTCTGAGTGTGTGTTGTTTTTTCATGTAATGCTAAGACGATAAATAATAATTACTCAAGTGTCGTAAATCTTCTAGCACACATCATTAAAATGAAAAGTAGTAGGAGACACCTCAACTTTTTAAGTGAAAATCCTATAACGGTAATAGATGAGTATTTATAATTATAAAAGATAATATATGGGTCATTATACTTATTTATATAATTATAATGACCCATATATTTTCTTTTGAGGGTTTTCCACTTGTTGAGGTGCCTCCTTCGGCTGTCCTTTCAAATGATCTAAGTGTGTTGAATTTTTGTGCAACATTAAGATGTTAAATAATTATTCTACCGCCGTTAATTTTTCGGCACACATCAATTAGTAAAAACCTTTGCTTCTGTTTAGGTCGTGTATGAACCAGTTTTGAACATAGGTTAGTTCAAACTCGATTTACCGGCATGGGATGATCAGCTCTTTTGGTAGCCTTAGGAATCGTGACCATTCTAGTGTGTGGAAGATGTCACCCCCCATATGACCTCATTCCGTTTGGTCGTCAGGATTGTAGGGCCTTTGACCAAGACGATATTACCCCCCCTTTTTTTTGTACACCCTAAAATTGGTTGCATCTTTTATTAGGGGCGTTTACATGCATAGCACTCCATTCTTATGCATGTAGATCTCACACACTTAAACTTTCATATTTACATGCATATCCGTCAAAATTTTGAGATATGTATGTAAATATGAAAGTTTAGATGCGTGATATGTAAATACATTGTAATTGTTTTGTGCTCTAGGTATGTAAAATTGTCGTTTTTGTTTTAGCTGAGTGCGGGCTCAAATGGGACCTAAATGGGACCTATATGACATTTTTGTTTTTGTTTAGTGCTTCACCTTTTTTTTCTTTCGAGTTTTGGAGAAAATATTATGTTCAGACACTGCATTTCGGGATGGTCAACCACCGTCGATCATATTGACATAGATTATTGGCGGGCGACGTAGCTGCTGGTGATTGAACGTTCGGTTGTCCGGAAAGTATATATATATATATATATATATATA